TACTGAATATACTGCTTTTTTACTAGTCTCTCAATTCTAGATGTAATTGTCATGTGTTTTGGGAATTCTATCTGGTCAGACTGTATAGAATTTCATTTGTTTTCTGTTGGAAAAAAAATCTGATCAAGTTTCTTCATAAAGTTAAAAAAAAATCTACAAAGCAAGCTGCACTTGGATCCAGTATTTAGCCTGTATGTTTTTATTTAAAATAGTTTTACTATGAAGGCTATGACTAGGTAGGTGCTATGTACTATACTATAACCACTTCATAGGAAAGATGTGAATACTTAAACTCTTTCAAATAAAAAAGAAGAAAGGGTAGGGAGAGACCCAACTCTACCAAGTTTCAATTGTGTCAGAGGTGACTGGATGTTTTTGTTTACATCTGAAATGCTGCAAAGTAACTCTTCTAAACAACAGTAAAGGCCAATTTTGTAAGTACTATTCTCGGTATCTTGAAGTAGCTGTCTCATAGGGTAGGATGACTGTAAGGGGAAACACCACTCTTCAATGCTAGACCTTCAGGTGTGCACATTGTTAGTCCCACTAATGTTATAGCTTGTTCTGTGTTAGTTTCCTTTTTCATTTTCAGGCATTATTTCAATTGAATCATTTATGGTTCTTCCATTCAGATTATAACAGCTATTTTGGAGCGGATAACCCTCAATGGCTGTATATGAGACATTGCCCGGGGTGCCTCCAAGATGCTTTTGAGCTGGGTAAGGAAATCACTGAGTGTTGACACATTCTCAGAGCACTATGGCATGGATTGAGAGCACAGTTCATAAACTGTGTTACTGACATAATATTTAATGGTTAACTGACAGAATAGACTAAACTAGTTTCCTCTGAAATGTTAAACAAAGCCAAATAATTTTTTTTCCTAAAAGAATCAGGTAACAAGTATTTTTAAAAAATTAAATACAATATCTAATCTATATGTGGTAATTCATGCATAAAAACTTCAATTCATCATTGCACTTCTGATAGGTCTACTTCTAATATAGTAGCCATTCAATGTATAATATTATGCTAATCTAATATCTGTTACCCCTATATTAGGACTGGTGTGGTAAATCAGACTCAGATTTTTACTGTGACTTTAAGGTCAAAGCTGTTTCTGCAGGCATGTCTTAACCAATCTGCTAGTTTAAGATTTATACTCAATTCAAGCTGTAATGTAATATCATCCTTACTATCTACATATTACCTTGCACACCCCTGTTCAGTCAGGAACAATTAGTTATCATGACTCATCTCCCCTTTCATTTACGTACACAGACAACTGAAAACTTAAGGGTTTGTGAACTCTGACCTGTGGAGTATATAAACTGTTGGTGTGGGGCTTTCACTGAGTGTACACTAAGAAATCAGAGAAAGCTTTTTACCTCTTGTTTAAAAACCTGAAGATGAGTATGATAATGATTGAGACATTCCAGCACAGGTGTGTTGCTAAAACGTTCTAGGACTTGATACTCCATTCCTTCTGTATTCAAGGTTAAGTAGTGTCCAAGGAGAGAGTATATTCTGCTGTAGAGAAGGATGCTTTATTTCTTACGATGTTTGTATAATGCTCTTTGTAATGCTTTTTCCAGTTGAAATACAGCTGAATCAGCTACAATATTGTCATGATTTTTACAGAAGTTAGTTCAGGTTTTGCACTGTCGCTGCCTCATGACCAAGGGGCCATGTTTTAGTACTGTTTTTTTGTTTAATGCCAAAAACCTTAGACGCTCAATTTCATGTTGTAATTAAAGCTTTCTATTTAAAAATAATATAAGCATGCAGAAAAATGGTTCATATTAGGACAGCATAATTTAAAATAAAACCAAAGAGGTTGTTTGCCACTTAAAATATGTTTTTCAAAAAACGTTTTGTGAAAAAGGTGCTATGCAGTGGCAACTTCCTTAAATATAGTAAGTAATAGGATTCCTGATATATCTGGTAAATAGAAGAAATAAACTTCCTATAAAAACAAACAGACAAGCAAATAATTAATAGGTTGTGCATGCAAGAGAAAGTTATATTAATCTGCAGTTCCTACCATTATCCCATCCAGGTGTAAACAGAGAGGCCTCCACTGTGTTGATTCCACAGAGTCCAGTAATAAACCTGAGATTAGCTTTTAATAATCCACTTCTTACAATTAAAAAAAAAAAATAGAAGTCTTATACCATTTAGTATTAAGTGGCCATATTTAATAATAGCTAGAGATTCACTGATACTTTTTCTTTACTCTCAAGAACCAGTGAACTATATTATACATGAATGGCTTCTAAAATGATTGGTTTATATTTCAGAATAACAAACAAGTTTCTGTACTCAGATTAAAGGTTTAAATTTAACAACCATTTCACCTTTATTTATTCCTGAATACAGACCCAGAATAAACTTTTATAAAATTCTCTGTCTCTTTTAATGTCATAGTTTGATAATCCCTTGACAACATGAGAATTGTTAGGTTTAAGGAAAGAGCGCCATAGTGGTAAACCCATTTTAATTTATATGTAAAATGTAGCAATTGTTAATTCTGTGCATGTAACAATTTTAACTGTTTATTTAAGGTTTTGAATAATTTTAAACCATCTGCACTTAACATTTGTCTGAAAAATATTTGTTTCCCCTTCACTAGCTTAATGGCAATCAAAAGATTACTTCTCTCAGGAGTATCACCCAATGTGCTCAAATATTAGAGGCAGTTGTTGTCTCTTCCCCATATGTTCAGAACCTGTTCTAACTTACTGTGGAGGTGCCTGGTGGTGTTCTGGATATGCATCACTTTTGCTGCAGCTCCCTTTTATACACACTGCAATTAGAATTGCTAATGGAAAGAATTCAAGTGGCTAACTTCAATTTTTTTAACACCCAGATTTTGAAAAATGTGTAAAGTCAAAATCTAAAGAAATGTAAAGGAGGTTCTCTGGTTAAACTTAAAACTACAGATCAAAGATTTAATTGCTTAAGTTGCCAGGTTCCTCTGGGATATCTATACAAGTATGAGCTTGTATAGCAGAATTCATTTCCATAGAATTGGTGTTTTGCTTTGTTTTTTTAAATTTTCTCCCTCCACTAAGATGGAAGAAAACAACAGACATTACAAATCCGTTAGCTTATTCACTTTTCCATGCAACACTGGTATTGGCCATTCTATAAAGGCTTGCTGTGACACGGCTCATAGAGTTTGTGTGTATTCAGAGTGGCTTTCTCTGTGGGTCTCTCTAAATTAAAAACTTACTCCCTGAATGTTGCAGCCTTTTAATTGTGTATTTTTAAGCTAGACCCTCAAGAATTGATGCTGGAAACCTGGATCATAACTACATTCCCTTAATTTCATGTGGTTACTCATCCTAGTTAACATACAAATCCCTTTTCTAAAAAAGAGCGAACAATTGTATTTTGAGAAGTGTTTAAAAGTCCAAATTATCTTAAAATATGTAAAAATATAAGGATAAGCCCTCTGAATTTGTGATTTTTGTGAATAGCCCTACAATCATCGGAATGTTTGAGCCTATGCCTTGCACATCAGTCTTAAGTGTGAGTTTCAAGAGTTGTATGCTTTCTCTGAATTATCACAGAATCACAGAATGGTTTGGGTTGGGAGGGACTTCCAAAGGTCATCTAGTCCAAGCCTTTGCCATGGCTAGGGACATCTTTCACTAGATCAGGTTGTTCAAAGCCCCATCCAACCTCACCTTGAACACTTCATTTCAAAACAATAGTATCACAACTGAAGGGATATAGAAAGGCCCTTATGACATTGTACAATCTCTTTTTGAGATTAGTAGTTCTTTTTCTTGCTGTAATCTGCTAACTATTCAGTTAATAAAAGCATATTTTGAAGACAGGAATGGATGAAGGCCATAGATAAACCAGGAAAAATGGGGAGTAGAAAAAGAATGGGCAAACAGTAATAGAAGTTCTCCATTAAGTCGTATGGGGTTCTTTCCATAAAATTCCAAGTTTCTTCTGCTCAAATATAAAACTAGCCACAGGCAGCCATAGCATATATAATTATGTATCATAGAAATCAAATCACATCATTTAGATGTCTCTTTGTTCAGATATCAGACTATTTCCTCCTGAACAGGTTGTGTAACAACTTGGTACATCTTGTATTAAAAAAAATAAAGTAATCCGTGCGTTGGAAGGCGAGAATGAGTTTCAGCACTGCACATTCTTCACAGAAGATATGCTGCCTGTCTCCCTCCTCATTGGCAGTTCATTCATTGCAGCTCGCGTATTTTTTCATATGCATACTGGCATTAGAGTTCCCTAGGATCTGTAATGATGGCAAATATCAGTGTAGGAGCTGGATTTCAAGGCTCTACATTTTTCAATCCCAGATGCAAAGAGGTTTTTTATGTAGAAAATTCCCCAGGTTATAACGCTGTCGTTGTTCTCAGTAGGAAACCTTAATTGCAGAGCTAGTTGGATAAGAGTTGGATTAGCTGGCAGAGTGTTGTCTGGAAAATCTTTCAGCTGTGCAATGTTATCACTTCCCCTACGTCCCTCCGCCCCCACCCCTGAGGATTCCTAGCCTACTGCATTTGGTGAGATACATATGTTTTCCCCAGCTACAGGAGCTGTGAAGGGTTCCTCTGGGATATCTAAGTATAAATACCCAAGTGTGTCTTCAGTTGCTAGGTTATTTTTAGTCAATGGGTGGTTACCAAGTCATCTATAATTGTGCTGTTAAATGTGTCAGAGCAGCTACTGCAAATTGAGGTGCTCCCTGTAACAGGTGGAGCATATAAAGCAAAATGAGAGAGGACAAAAGCAACATTTCAGAGCTGAACTGCTTAAATATTTGAACTATATAAGGGTTGATTTCTTGGTAGGCAGATGTGAGGAAGATGATTCAGGAATGCAACATGGATGAAGGAATAGGGTAGCAGTGTTTGACTGTATGTGGTGGTAATTAAACCACAATAGTAATTAAACCTCAAGGCACTCCCCTTTCTCCAGCCCCCATCTGGTGAGAGAGGGACAAAAGCAGAGACTGTGAGTTGAGACAACAATTTAGTGAAAGCAAACAGCAGTGGAATAAGAAATGCACAGCACCAGCAGCAATATTAGTAACAAAAGTATATGGAATAGATGGTTCTTTACATGCAAAAGGTGCTCACTAACACCTCAGTTTAGCTCCACGTGACTGCTGATGCAAAGACAAGATGGGGACGCTCCTGCAGCTTGGCAGCAGCTCAGTTATTCTTGAGACAAAGACAAGGTGGTGGACACCCCGCAGCCAGCATTCCCCATCCCTGAGCCTGAGACAACGAAAAACAATGATGGACAAATTCCCAAATTCCTCTGTGTGGTGCTGCCTGCTTTCTGCCCTGCTGGGGTTGACTGTGGCCTGCAATGCTTGGCTCAGCTCCTGTCTGCCCAGCTTGGCTGGGCTAGGGCTCAGCTCAGGTTCTGCTGCTCCATTCCACAACTGCTTCTCGCACCGGCATCGTGGCACACACTCGGCTGGGATCGGGAAGAAACACAAGAAAATGGTGAACTTCTGGAGTATATTCCCTTTTTTCCTTCTCCTGGAACCAACCCCCTGGCAGCGATGATGTGAGCGCTATAGAATAGCAATGTGGCCCGGCCCCAGGGCTCTAGGCTCCCCCTCTGTGAGCAAACCGAGGACACTACACTGCACATAGTGCCTGTGCTGGCACATTGTGTGATTTCAGGTGTGTGTTGTGGGAGAATTTACCAGTGCTTCAAGGGATCAGATCACAAGACCTCTAAGTTCTTAGGCAGCTCCTTTTTCGGTAGTGGCCAAAAACTGTTACCAAATGGTGACTGCTGTGTGGGAGAATGTTCAGTGAGTTCCCAGTGGAAAGCTGTCTACCTGGCATCAACTGCTGGCACAAATCTTTATAAATACAAAAGAAAATGAAAATTATACCTGAAGAGAAAGTCAGTAAGATGGTAGGAAGAAGAAACAAACAGCAAAATAATGCAACTGAAACACAAAATGAAACAAAATTACTTAAAAAAAAAAAACCTCAACTGTCAAAAGTTCTAAGTAAACATGCACTGTTAGCAAGGAGATTACACAGTGTTAATTCTAAATTACCTAGGCTGTGCTATCCCTTTTATGAATCTGCCACTAGGAGACAGGACAGGAAGCAGCATATAGCCTGTCAAAAATATTAAAGATATATTAAAGTATCACCTACTTTGGTAAGTCAGGGGAAAAACAAAAGAAAATTTTAGGTGTTCATGAAAAGAGAGAATGAAATGTATTTGAAGTTCCTATGGTAGCCACATCATGCCACAAAACAGAGATCAATAGCATCTCTTTAGATGTTAATTTCTACTCCAGTGACAGTTACCCAGCATCAGGTGAAGACCAGGAATAAAATTTTGAGGACTGCTGTAGTTGTGCCTAGCTCAAAAGCAAAGAAATGCAAGCCAGCCATTGGTATGCAGAGAAAAGAGGAAAAAAAAAAAAGCTTAAATATTGCTAAAATTAACTGGTGGAAATACATTTATCTCTACTCATTCCAATATATTCAATATATCTTATATTTTGGTGAGATTCAAAATGGAAAAGGATTTATAATGCTACTTCAGGTATATGTGAAAGATGAACTGGGTGAATTTCAACTAAATAAAATGTTAAACTTAGCATCAGGAGAAACACTCCAGCTGAGAGAAGCACTGGGCTGGAATAATCACCTCAAGTGGCTGGTGACAGACTATTGCCTGAGTAACTCAAAAGTAACAAAAATGAAATCCAGTGGGTACTGGAAAAAGTTTGGTCTAAATAACCTTATAATACCTATTGTCTTCTCTATTTTCTTTTTCTAAAGCCAGAAGTAGTTTCCAAATTCATTACTTAAAATAGGCTAACGTCACATCTTGTGCTCCTGCATTTATATCTACATTGGCCATGCAAAATTTGGGGGTTTATGGCATGAACAGGAATAAAATAGTTATGCAAGAGGCATTTGACACAGCTGGAAATAGTAGGACCTTTTTTCTAGGTATGTGGAATACAATCTGATCATGATTGTTTTCCAGGAATTTTAGCACATCTTTATTTATAAAATATCTCAGTAGTGAAGAATAAATCTTACAGAGTCTGGCAGAATCTTTTCACAAAATTAAATGCAGAGTATAGATAATTTTTTCAAGTCTCTATACTTGAGCAAAGGCTGCTGGTTTTGCTACCGAGTTCCAGTTTTAGTAATTCTGTAGAACTCAACTGAATTTTTGGTAAAAAGAACAAATGAGCTGTATTTCCAAAAGGGAACACACATTTGAAAATTATGCACTTCATTTTTCTGCTGCTTTCTTGTAAGATTTCAGAAGATCTTCTATCTCTTACACATTTGCTCTTGCTCCCTGATCATCAGGAAAATGTATTCCTCACTCCTCTTCCTAACTGCAAAAGCCTTCTATATCAGAAATGTCTGCCAACACCATCACCATCCTTTACCAGCTTTCAGGTGCTGAGCATTGCTACTTCAACCTTAAAACGCAATGGGGAAAACCCCTGTGGAGTGGTTCCCTAGAAGGAGCTACTGCTAGGATCACAGATTTTTGCCTCTGTTGCTGAAGATGAATGGGGTCAGGACAAAACCTGGAAATGCAGAGATAGGTCTGCAAATCTGTTACAGCCTAAGCAGCCTAGAAATTGTTTGACAGGTGTGATTCCATTAGTTGGGGATGCAAATCTTAATTGGCTGAAAGATAAGGGGGAATTTTTATCAGTGCAATTTACTCAGAAAAGTCTACACGGGTCACTTGAGTTATCTTTAATATTTTATAAATCTTTATGCAGGTAACAAGTAAAGAAATTGAAGGTGGATATTTTTGAATAGGACTCACTCTGTTTGAAAAGTCCAAAGCTATTTAGAAAACACAAAACTGAGAGTGAACCATATGTAGTATAGCAAGTGGCGTTGCCAGGTATCACTGTCCTCTCAAATGGGAAGTCTTCTGGAATTCTTTGTTGCTATGAGACTAAATATGTTTGTACAGTGTGAGCGCTGAACCAGATTTTGCTCCCACTTCCACTGTGCAAGTAGAGTGACTCCGCTGCAGCCAGGGAGCAAAATGCCATGTTCTGATGTTTTGTTTATGAAGGGTCTGACCTAAAGGCCACAGCAACCCAGGCATATTTGTCTAATTAAGAAGCTCAGAGAAGTAAGACTAGTTTAGAATGAGAGAAAGCACCATCTTGCACCTCAGAAGGGGCAAGGAACAAGCTGTTGGGGCTTCTGACCCATTGACAGTGGATCTTCATGTGCTTTTAGTCAAAAAGGAAAGCAATGAGTAAAATTTTTCAGGTTTTTCTCAAAATGTTTTCAGAGGAAAAGATACTTACTGTGGACTGTGTAATCTCCGAAGTTTGACACTTTTAAAATCCTGTGGATTTTAAAGTTACCTGTGGATTTTAAAGCTGCTGTGTCGGTGGGGGGCAGGGGGGTAGAGAGATTTGTTTGCTTAAGTATAAAAAGTGTGAATTTTCTTTAGCTACTTGACACTTTTTTCTTTCACCCAGAAGACAAATAAACAAAACCCAACTTGAACTGTGTCCAAGCATGGCAAATTTCTCACTGAAGTGTACATTTCAGAATGAAAGATTTACAGTGGAGTTTCTCTAGTGTAGCTCTGACATTGCTTTAACATTGCATTGCTGTAATCTTCAAATATACTAACTGCAATACATGGGTTTATAGGGATTTGTATGAAGTTTAAAATTCAAAAGATGGTTGTTTTTAATGTTTCTCTGTGCTATCTGTGAAAAATGAAAAGGCATAGGAATGAGTTTAAGACACATCATCAATAGCATGGGAGATGTTTGCCCAATAAAAATACTGACCTTTTATTAATCTGTCCTTTCAAGCATCTGAGAACCCTGTCATGGTTTCTTAAAATAAAGCAAATATTTAAACATGAAATATTAAAAAAAAAAAAAAAAAACAAAGCACCAAAACAAACAATAAACCAAAAAACCAAAACTCCAATCCACATGATAAATGCAGACGTAACCAAAGTGCTATGAAAACAAAGCTTTCAGCTTGCAAGTATTCCCTTACTTGGCTTAGATCTCCAAAACTATGGATGCCTATCCCGGAGAAAGCGGGGTAGCTCACTGGCCGTCGGTGCTTTGCCGTCGTTGTCACTGTTGCGCAGCGAACCTACCGCCAGCCCGAGCAGCCCGGCGGCTTCCAGCGTGTCGCGGGGCCGCGCGGCGGGAGGCGGCTCCGCTGTGCCGGCCGCAGCCCCGTCCGCCCCGCCGAGGCCGCTCTGGCCCCAGCCCTGTGCCCGCAGCTGCCCCGCCGCCCGTGCGCCGCCGCAGCGCCTCTCCCGCGTTCCGCGGCCGCCGCTCGCTCCGCGCTCCGCCCCGCGGGGCAGCGCCGGCCGCGCTGCGGGACACGCGCGCACCGCGCAGGTTGCGCGGCGCAGCGGCGGCGTTTGAAGCCGAGAGGCGCGGAGCCGCACCGCCTGCGCGGGCAGAGGGCTCCGGGAGGGGGCCCGGCTCGGGCAGCCCCCCTGTACGGCCGGCAGCACTTCGGTGTGCGGCTGCTAACCCTGCCCTGCCCCGCGCCGCCGGCCGCCTGTGCGCACCGAGCTCGGTGCCTGACCGGGCAGCCTCGGCTGTCGGGCGGCCCGCGGGTGAGGAGCGCCGTGTCCGCCTCTGGCCGCGGCTACGCCGCGTCCCGCAACGGCGGGGCCGAGCGCGCAGTCCCCGCGGAGCGCCCCGCATCGCAGCACCGCCCCGGCCTTCCCGCCCCCCCGCACGGCTGCTCTACGGCAGCCGGTGGCCACGGCAGGCTCCTTCCCCTGGAGTGGGAGAGCGGCAGCAAAGGCAGCAAAATCACAGCCTTGGTGTGCCGGGTTTTTTTCTTTTTTTTTTCTTTTTTTTTTTTTTTTTCTTTTTTTTTTTTTTTTTTTTTTTTTTTTTTTTTTTTTTTTTTTTTTTTTTTTCTCCTTTTTTTCTCACGCTGATTTATTAGGTTTTTTCCTTTGCGCTCCTGTTTTCCGCGGGGATTGCTGCAGCAGAGGCATCAACCTGTAGACTGAGAGAGCCCGCCGTAGCCCGGCGCGGCTGCTCGGAGCGCGCGTTGCGGTGCCACCGCCGGGGCGCGGCCCCGGGACAGGGTCGACCTCGCGGGCGGACGGCGGGCGAGGGAGCGGGGCCGGCCACGGCACCCGGGGGACCTCTCGGGGCCGGGAGACGAGGAGCCCCGGCGGCGGAGGTGCCAGCCCAAAGGCAGAACAGCGATCTGTGCGAGAGCCCCCGAGCGGCCCCGCGCTTGCCAGGGACGGCGGGCTGAACCGACTTCCCTCCCGCCCCTCGCACCCGCACTGGAGAGCATCTCCGAGCCGGGGGAGGAGGAAGGGGGTGCAACAAATTGCCGCCAGCCGGGAGAAGTTGCAGTAAAGAGAGATCCCTCCCTCCCGCTCCCTCCCCTCCCCGCTCGCTCTCTCCTCCCCGAGCCGTGGCAGCGAGCAGCGGAGCAGCGGCCCGACGAGCGAGCGGCACCCGCAGCCCGGCGATGCTGCAGCGGCTCCCGCGGAGCCTCGGCGGGGAGGGCCCGGCCCCTGCGCGCCCCGCGCCGGCCGGCGGCGGCGCGCCCTGAGCGGCGGCGGCGGCCCCGCGCCCCCGCGGCGCAGCGGGCGCTGTTGCGCAACCCTGCCCGGCGCTGCCGGTCCCTGCCCCCGCCGCCGGCTCGCCGCGGCTCCCGCGGAGACGGAGCGCTGATTCATGGGGCCCCGCGCCGGCTGCCTCGGCGAGGAGAGCGCGGCGCTGCCGCTGCCCCCGCGCGGGGTGTGAAGCCCCGGCCCCTCCTCCGCAGCCCCGGGCTCGCCCGCCCTGCTCGGGAGTGTTGTCCCTGCCGGGAGCCGCCGCGCCTGGCGCACAGAGGGAAGCGTTGATGCATCGCTGTGGAAATTCATTGTGTGACTTTCTGGGTATTTACTGAGTTTCAGACCGAGATGCAGCTCTTGAAAGCTTTATGGGCACTAGCAGGAGCAGCGATCTGCTGTTTTCTTATATTTGTCATCCACTCACAGTTTCTTAAAGAAGGTAATTGTATGTGCATGTCTACATATTCTGTTCTTTAGTACTAAGATCTTTACGAGGTGCCTTAATTATTTTTACTGTTTCCAGTATGTTCTATTTACAGCAGTGCTTCCACGCTATTTTCCTTTCCGTTAAAGCCTTCTCAGTTTTGTTGCTTTAGATAATAGGTAGGCTTAGATTTACATTTTTGGTAAATATATATATATTATATGTATATATAAATATATATATATATATATATATATGTGAAATCTATATGATGTTTATATTCGATGTTTTAGCTGACGTCTCATTTCTTTATGGGGCATGTATAGTGTATAGAAAATATTTGTTCCTATCAGATGACCACAAAAGAGTAGTCATCATGGGAATATTAATAAACCAAAAAAACCCTTAACAAGTAAACGTCTTATTTTTATACCAAATCAATAGGCATCCTTTCCCTCTTCCTTATTCAGTACATTTTCAATAGATGGCACTAAAGTTCTATGGAAAGGGCAGGGCAGAGCAAATCCTGGGCATTCAGCGTCTTCCTTCTCCTCACTGCCCCGAAAGGGGAAGAGGCCTTTGCATGGCTTCAAGTCTTCTGTTTTTACCACCTTGTGGTCAGAAAACTGTGATTACAATTTACAGGAGAAAATAATTTGAATTGTGAGGCAGGCTTTCCTCTTTTTTTCTTTTTTTTTTTTCCCTATTTAAATTGGGTGGAAAAAAATGTTTGCTTAAGTGAGTAGAGGGATTTTCTTGGGAAGTAAACCTTGTATTGCTCCTTTTCTGTTTTGTTTTCTTCCCTCAGGAAATTAGTATTTTCTTTTTTTTCTCCTACTGCTAAAATAATTAGTCTATTTGTTACTTGTATAACAAACTCTAGTCTGAGATTCAAGTGTGAATCCTGAAAAATGTGTATATATTTCATGGTGTGTGGAAAAGTCCAGTCCTGTTTTTTAAGCAGTGCTAACAAAGATAACACAACAATATGGGGGTTTTGGTGAACTTATTTTTTCTTTTTTTACTATTGTAATGTAGTTGAGGATATAGCTGGAGGAAAAAGAAGCCAAACTCAGCTTGGAATGCTGGCTGTGTAAAGCAGGGAAAAAACTTTTTTGTGGCTGGGACAAAGTTTCACTCAAGGCTGGGCAAAGTGACTACCTTGCAACCTCTGAAGCGTCAGTACTGATTTTAATTCAGTGTCAGTCTAAGCAAAGCATGAGACTCTGTGTTTTCACTGATTTTTTTTTTTTTTTTTTCTGAAATGAATAAACTCTGATTTGCCTGATTTGGTTAATTTAGGAACATTATTCAGATACCTCCAGAGCTAAAGACTTCTTCTTTAAGAAACCTACCCATGCTGTAATTGCATTGTGTGCAATGCCTCCCACATAGTGACTTATTTAACATTCTTTTAAAATGCTCAGACAACTGTATTTATATATATCTGTCTAATGACATGGCCTGTTTTGAGAAGATTTTGTCGAATTTCAGGCTATTTTTTCACTCTATTTGCCATTATACTGCTTTATTTCTTCTTTGGTCTTTTAGGGCTTGAGGTCTGTGTTACTGTAAAAAGTCCGTAAAAGAAGAAGCATTTTGTTTCCATTAAAATATTTCATCCTGCTTGTAGAAATAGAAAGCTAGCAAATTAAATAAAAACAGAACCCATGGCAGTACATGAAGGACTTTTAACACATTTTACATTTTTCTAGCAATTATAACCATTTTTATCGTTGATTGCAGACAGCAAACTGAAGCTTATTGGAAAACTTAATTAGATCAGTTTGTTTATATTTGTTCCTGAACCATTTCTGCTTTCTTTAGCAATGAGAACTATATATTGACTGTAAATTGCATGTAATGGAACAGCTGTTAGACTTTTCTTGACAGGTGTTAATCTCCAGGATAGCATTTTGGCCCTTTCCATACAGTTACTTCAGCAGTGTATGTATTTCCTCTTCCCTGTAGTTTCTATAAAGACACTGAATAGTTTGGCGGAGTTGAATGAAAGTCTGCATGGTATGACTGAGTTTTTTTTTTTTTTTTTTTTTTTTTTTTTTATGAAGAACTTTTAAAATATCCCATAAAAGTGAATGGTTTAAGCATAAGATATCTAAATGAAGGCTTATAAAAGAATGAGAAATAGATAACACCGGGTTTAAGCTATGTATTGTAAGCATTTTGCAAAATAAGATTTTCATTTACTTTTTTTTCATTTTTGAACCTGGTGTTTTATGTTACTTTCAGTAAGACAACAAAAAGCGTGAGGAAAGAACTAGCAAATAATTTAGCCATATGCCTACCACATTAGTTCATTAAGTAAATATGTATAAGAAGAATAAGTTCAATAAGTAAATATGTAGAAGAAGAATACATGTGAGATTATCTCACTACCTTAATAAGATTTGAAATAGTTTTCTGATGTCAGAGTTATCACTTTACGTTATAATTTTATAAAAAGTTAGGAATTCTATGTCTCATTGCACATGATGTTCGACTGTTGATTTCCTGACAAAAATATTAGTTTCCCATTGGAGCCTAATGAGCTACACAGGCTTGCTGTTTGTAACTCAGCTCTGTGGTCAAATTCCTAAGTTAAATGCTTGGACATTTTAATTTGGTTATAGCTTGTGCAGAAGGATAATTTTCTGTTGTCCCAAGGAATATTCAAATAAGCCACCAGTTTGAGTAGCTTGATCAGATTAGCTGGTAACACCTATCTCCTGAGACAAGTTGATGGTACAAGTCCATACACCAAGTATTTCTGTTGTATGCAGGACAATTGATTTAAGAATGACATGTAAAATTCATTAAAGCTCAAACCTGATTTATTAACGCATATTCTTTCTATTTTTGCATATTTCAAAATATTTACTATTTATTTTTCCAGAGATAGATTTTTAACAGAAAACTGACATAATCTTAACTTTATACAAAATTATATAATTACTATATGTATTTTTCTGTGTTCATTTTCCTTTTATTCACTTGGAATTACTGATGTTATGTGGTAGGTTATGCTCTTATGACCTATTAACACAATGTATTTTTTATAATTTTCGTTGTACTGCATGGCTACAGTGTGTAGAAGTTCCATGACATCCAGCTGAAACTTATTACCAGAACCAAACCCTCCTTCAGTCCCATTCATAAATATGAGATTGTATGTTGCAACAGGCGACTTAGATTTTTTTCATAATTCATGTTAATTTCATGTTGATTTCACTTTAGTTCCTCAGGCTGAAGTGGGCCTGTCTTAATTCTTAAATATTTTTATATACATTTTTGAACTGAGGCAGTTTGGTAGTAGCATTACATTACTACTGTATAAATGGTGTTAAGAAACAACGAACACTTGTTCTGAGATGAGTGGGAAAGAGCTGTTTAAATGTCTATTTTCATGAATATGTTTTTTTCAGGAAGTGAAGAATGGGTAACAGAGGGTGCCATTTTTCCACACTTAGGCTTTTGTGTGGAAATACAGGTCGTCCTGTGGCTAATCCGTTCCCCTATGTCCAATCTGTCCTTCAGTGTTTCTAAAAGATGAATAGAGCTGTGAACCCAGAAAAGGGTATTGTGATATATAATTGCAGTCCCATGCCTGTCTGATCTTCAAGCAAAGCAGTTTAACATACTCTAGTCAGCTGCAGTCAGTATGGAGTGTTTAAAATTTCAGTATCTAAAACTTTTTGCGTAGAGTATTGAAAATTAAAAGTAACCAAGTATATTCACTACCCACATCTGATTTTAGGTGATTCACTATCTAATATTGTTTAACACGTTTATTCAAAGAGAATTGAAAAACATTTGAGTTGCTGTTACACCCCATCAATTGTGGGAACTCCTTTGCCCCTGACAAGGACTTCTTTCATGTAGTAGGAGGTTTGAACCATTCAGACACTGCAGTGATGGGGAAAGGTAAAGGATACAGTTTCTAAATGTCTTTGAGTCTCATGGAAAGTAGGGCAGCTATGGAGTGACTTAAGAAGGGTATGTGTACATGGCAGCCAAGGTGTGTTACAGCCCTGGATATACTTTAAAGATTTGTTTATGTGATGATATGATGATAGCTCATTAGGAGATAGAAATGTGTAATTTATTGAAAGGTACATTGATGTTTTGAATGGTTTAGGAGATATTGAAAAGTACTGCAGCACTTTTTTAAAAAAGAATGCAGTCTTAAACATAACTTGGCTAAGTTTTATACTTAATATAATTTTTATGTCACTTTTTATACAAATTTAACTACTTTATCCAGCTGTATAACTACAGAAAAAACTTTATGCATATTTTTGATTTTAGCATGTACATTTTGACACCGACAATAGCTTGCACATTTTCTATTTAGCTGTGTAATCCCAAAGAACTTTGCTGCTTCTTCTGCTAATGTTTGAAAATGTCTACTGACAGTATACCCAAGATGATTTTTTAAAGAGCCTTCTGCTCTTATAACCTGATGGCTTGAGGAAGCTGGTTTGCTAATGTTTACTGCTAAAACCTTTTGAGGAAAGAAGCTGTTATCTTCTAAAATGTTTTGAGACTTTGGCCCTCACAATTTTCTTAGAAAGAATTTGAACGTGACTTAGTATGACCAATAATATTGCTAACTTTTCATTTTTATTTTCTCTTTAAAATATAAAAAAATACTTGAACCAGTTAAATGCAGAAAGATAACTACTTTTAAGACTGTAGTGGGGGAAAAGATTTGTTTTGTTTATTTTTTTCAGTTTTCCCTTTTATCTTTTATGCTTTACCTGTGTCTCAAAACAGTAAGATACCTTGCATACCAGATGTGCTGCATATGTTACCTATATATAGTAAAACTGAGTTGAGGACAGCATGTCCCAGCTGCAAATTTGCTGAAGAGTTTGCTATATTTAATGCACTGTAGTATAATTTTTTTTCTACTGTCTATCTTCTATACATTTTTAGGAGAGGTGTTGTGAAGAGGCAGATATGAATGATATTTTCAGCACAGGATGTCAGGGTAGAGAGAGGTCCAAAATGCAGAA